GTGCAGCAAGTGGAGGTGGATTGCCAGCAGTGTATGTTGGAGATCTTGGACACGGCAGGCACAGTAAGTTTGTTTTATGACATCACAAAAGGTGTGTTGACGGTTGTCATGGAAACAGAGGGTGACGCTCGACTTTTGTTAAGTGCAGGCATAAAACCTGAAATCAGAGTGAGGAAAAATTCATGTAAAAAAAAAATTACGTGTGTGTGTGTGTGTGTGTGTGTGTGTTTCAGGAGCAGTTCACAGCCATGCGTGACCTGTACATGAAGAATGGTCAAGGCTTCGCTTTGGTTTACTCCATCACGGCTCAGTCGACCTTCAATGACCTTCAGGACCTGCGAGAGCAAATCCTCCGTGTCAAGGACACAGATGATGTACACGTGCACACGCGCACACACATGCACAGGCTTTGGCAGCTGGAGTAAACCCTATTTTTGCCTGAAACTTGAAAACGGCACGTTGGCTGCACACGAACCCAACTTGACCTTGAAAAACAAAGCGTACGTGCCCTCGTGTGTGTTCAGGTTCCGATGATCCTGGTGGGCAACAAGTGCGACCTGGAGGTGGAGCGTGTGGTGGCCAAAGAGTCGGGCGTGGGCCTCGCTCGCCAGTGGAACTCGTGCGCCTTTCTCGAGACCTCCGCCAAGAGCAAGATCAATGTCAACGAGGCATGTGCTCACGCACGCACACACACACACACACACACACACACGCACACACTGCTTGATGTACATCCATCCCATAGCTTTGTCATTTTATCCTCATTGTCTTGTGCGTATGTCGATATTCAGATTTTCTATGATCTAGTGAGACAAATCAACAGGAAGAGTCCAGTTCCTGGGAGAACTCGCAAAAAATCCACTTGTCAACTCCTCTAATGGTCGTGTCACAGGTACATGGTAGTGTCTCACACACACACACACACACACACACACACACACACACACACACACACACACACACTCACACACACTGACTTTCTGGATCATGTTTGCAGCTGTGCTTACCTGTACGACATCAACCAAGCAACCAATCAGAGGACTTCTTCCAACTTGCCCCGCCCCCAGCTACATGATCATCATCAAGTTGGAAGTCTGTCGCCAAGACAACCACATCTACCATGCTTCCCCGTCCTCTCCTCTGTTGCCTTGGAAACCAAACATCAAAAGACTGTCATGATGATGATGATGAAGATGGGCTGCCCAGATGTTTCTGCTTCTTGTTCTTGTCTTTTTTTTTTTTTTTTTTTTTTTTAGTCTTTCAGACTAGATGCGCAAAGTTTTGATGTCACGACCAACATGGCTGACTTTGAGTGTGCGTGTGTGAGTGTGTGGCTCTAGTCGTACAGCATTTGTGAAATGTTGCATATTTTGCTCATGTGATTTTTTTTTTTTTTTTTAATTTTATTTGTTTTTTTTTTAGGGGGAGAGGGCGGCAATGCAGCAGCAATAGTTTTTACCATAAGCTCACTGTGTTAGCACGCAGCTAACCTCAGCACCTCGGTTAGCAGTTAGCGGCATACTTTTAGCTCCACTTTTTAATAACAGTGCCAACCTTGATGAGGCGCACCGATATTAGCATCGAACAGGTTAGCTCACGTGTAACATTGACGCATGTGGCCGTGAGTGCCGCGCTGTTCCGTCTTTAGCGCTCGGCATTGCTGCTTGGGTGGCTGTTAGTGACGAGTTTTTGGCTTACTGTTTTGAAAAACTGCCAACAGTGGGCACGTTACGAAAAATGTATTTCGCCACATGGAATATGATGATGTTTAGCTCGTGTGTGGCATTGCTCCATGTGAGGCTGTAAACGGTTCGCGGCGTGTTATTTTTTTTTCCTCTGCCTTCTAACGACGACTACCAGTGCCGCCGTTGACAATGTTACAGAAACAGTTATTTTGGCCACACCTTAATTATTTTGTTTGATAGTAGGTTAGCTTGTGTGTGACCGTTAGCTATTAGCTTAGCGGTGACTTTGAGCCCCGATCGACTGCTGCTGCTGCTGCTGCTTCCTGCGACGGACATGTTGCCTTTGGACAGCAGACTCACACTGGTCCACTACTCTGTGTGTGTGCGTGCGCGCGTGTGTGTGTGTGTGTGTGTGTGTGTGTGTGTGTGTGTGTGTGTGCGCGTGCGTGCTCGCGCGTGTGCGTGTGTCCAGATTGTATTGCTAACATGTCATGACATGTTTACGGACATTAAGTATACACAAGACACACACGTGAGACAGGAAGAGTTTGTGTTGCTATTTTGTTGTTCATGATGATGATTGTGTAGTTGTGGGATTGTTGCGCAGCTTTTACTCCTTGGCCTTTTGTGTCATTTTGTGCTCGACGCCTCACCTCAGTGTTGATGCAAGAGGAGATTGTTGAAGCCACTAAAAGCCTTTTAAGTCTTCAAATGTGTGGGATTGTGCGCATTTGTGCATGGGAGGGTGTGTGGCCCGTGTGACTGTATAAAGTGTATGTGTGTGCGTGTATATGTATAAGTTTGTGTGTGGGAGTATATGTGGATGTTGTGTCGGTGTGAAAGTTTGTGTCCGGAGGTCTTCGTGTGTGTTTGCTGGGAATGGAGGTTTTGTGGCGCGTTTGTGTGGAGATTGTGTGTCTGCGCGAATGCGTGCGGTGGGGCGGCCGCGCGTTTGTGTTGGTCACGTGGCATGCGAGCATTTGTCCGTTTGGTCTCCGGGTGACGCCGTGTCAGCATGCTCGCAACTGCGGTCATGCGGCCACAAGGCGGCGCCACTGACCACTGAGGCTTGTCAAATAGAAGACGCGTGACTTGAGGGCCCGAGTAGCGCCGCCCACTAGCGCCAGGATGACGCACTTGAGTCGGCACTCGCGACGCTTAACTAAGCGTAAGAAAAGTTGGATGCGCTTTTGTTTCCCGCATGCACGCTGACGACGCCGACCCACGGAGCTCACAAAAGTGCTTTTGGTTCTGTTCTGCTTCCCCCTGTGTCGCTTTCGCGTTGGTTTGTTGTTGCGTGCGTCCGCGTGCCTGTGTGTTGCAGGGGTCGGGGCGGGGACCATGGGGGTGAAGCCAAATGTAAAGTTCAAACTTGAAAAGCCTTAAATAAAAGTGGTGCCATTTTCTAACAGCGAGCCGACATAGTGACTCTCTCGCGTCCGTGTCGTCCACAAATCCAGCACTTCGACAGGAGATCCACGTAGATGTTGTCCACATTGCATCGGGTACCCATCGACGTCGTACAGCGTACGGGGAGGCACTAGTCGACAACGCAAATGTAGTGCGGAGATGAACAACAAGATGGCGTGGTCGTCTTTCTTCGACGCGGATGAAAGCGCGTCTCATCCTGCTTCCTGGAGTCTTCGCGCATGCGCGCGTCTCTCTCGCTCTCTCCGCTGCCATGGCAACGGCGGCGGCGTCTTATTGTCGCGCCGGTTCGCCCTCAAAACTCGAGGTCGCCGCGACCTTTTCTTCTCGTCCATTTCATTCCTGTTCCTTCTTTTCGTTCCCAACGCGTCAAGCGACACCTCGTGGTTGCTAAAGTGACGGGCGAGGCCGCCCGCCGACACGTTCATTTGTCGCCCGGAAACGTCATGATGGTCACGGTAAGATTAGCATGAGCTCATTAGCATGGTAGCCAGCTCAGTTAAGAAGAGTTAAGGCAATCAAAGTGTAAGCTGCTTTTATTTATTTGTATATTTACACACACACACACACACACACACACACACACACACTATTATTATTCGGTGTCTTGAACTCACGTTAAGCAGCGCGCATTTGTGTGTTCTCGCGTGAGAAGGTGAGCACCAATTTTACGCATGCGCGCTGGGTCAGAGGTCCGTGAATCAGCGCGCAAGTGCGGCGGTGTGTCAAGGCCTCCCTCCCGGGCCACTTTTGTCTCCCCAGTCGCCTCCTGCCTGTGAATGAGCGGCAACCGGTCCTTTTGTGGAGATGTGCCCTGACCGTACCACAATTTGCTTGCCCTTCTGTCCCATCTCGGTGGTGTTTGTCAGAGTGAACGCGAGAGGAGCTACGGACGTTCTCGGAGCCTTTCTCATTCTCCTCAGCGAAGCATCTCATCGGCCGGACGGCGCCGGCCCCACCGAGGTCAGCGTCGGATTGCAGACGACCATCGATGGATGCATTTTTCTCCCCCACCTCCCCCCTCTACTCTATCTTTTGATTTTTGTCCAATCAGCTGGGAGCAGAGAAGACCACCCCGCCGACGAGAGGAGATCGGGTCCCGCTCCTTCACGGGCTCGCAGTGCGGCGCCCCCTGCAGGTCCAAACCACTGATGCGTGTTGACGCGAACCAGCTGAGGCTCATCATGCTAACGCCGCCCCTGATGCCGTGCCGAACATCTGCCCGCAGCTCGCAATGAGGACAAGGACCGCAAACGTACCGCGGGTCCGGCCGGGTCGAACCGGGTTGCGGAAATTCACCCGTCGAGAAAATCCGAGGACCACCGAGCGTCGGCGAGGAACGCGACGGACGCCGGCTCTCCTCTGCTGGCGGCGCAACGGGTGGGCCGCACGCAACGCGTTCCGCCGGTCGCACGCGTGTCCCGATTCAAAAAAACTCCTTTTGAAATGAAACAAGTGGACACATTTCTGAATCCTAAATAATCCCATTTCAAAATGAGAAGGAATTGCGGCCAAAATGAGGTTTCATTCGCGTTATCGTGAATTGGGAAAAAAAATCGAATGAATATTCTTTTTGCTCTTCTGATTTTTTTGGCGGGATTGTACTTGGATAGACAAGCGTCAATCTATGAAAGAAAGAGGAGCGTGTCTGTCGTTGCTTTGAGAGTGAAAAGGAAGCCATTTGTGCGCTAGATGCTGCGCCGCCGCCCCGCCTTTCGAACGCAGCCCGTTGCCACGGAAGCAAAATCGCAGCCTGCCGCGCAGAGCTCCCCCGTTCCCATGGAAACGGAGTACCGCCGCAGCTTCCAGGGGGCGTCGCCGTCTCGTGGCCCCCGCCTGCGGAAACATCTGGAACGCCGCCAGAGGCTTCCCGCCTTCCACACGCGCTCCGTACGCACGCGCGCTCGCACAAATTGCCGGTCTTGTTGTCCACGACGACGATGTTGTCGCTTTGGTTTGATCAGAAAAGTCAGAAGTTGAGGGAGGAGTCCGAGAAGATCTCCCACCCACAAGGTGCCGGCCCCGCCCACCCGAGGGAAGACGCGCCCCCTCCGCAGGTCCCGCGACGACACAGGTGCGTACCGCCGCTGTCTTTGAATCCAGCTGGTGTGTGTTTGTGATCCTTTGGCCGTCCGCCTGCGCGTGTGAATGCCGACCCAAGTTGACCGCCCAACTTTGGAACGCAAGCCCAGTTGGTCACGGCGTTGTCAAGATTCCCGCAGCTTTCCCTTAATCAATTTTCTTGAGCTGGGGGTCCACACGCAGCGCACCCTGGCGGCCGCTTTCAAGCCCAGTCTGCCGAGTTACTAATGTCAGCTCTTGCCCGTGTGCGCGCTTGTCCGACAGGAAGCTGGTGACGGAATACCAAGCCAACTTTCCCGGTCCGCGACGAGAAGCGGCGGGCGCTCCCCCTCAGGTGAGTGGGGGCGATCACGTGACTCCAAAGCGAACCGGCTTTGCCTTATTTGGCGCAAGATCGGGAGAAGTAGCGCGCGGGGGGGAAACCAGCAAACCACATTGGTTCATTTCGGGTAAACGGCGCACACACACACGCATGCGAAACAACGCGCGCACAACACACATCCATCACAAAGACACACCACACTGACACACACGCGTGCGCGCACAAATGAAACACACAACATGCTCAGGCAGGAATTCATCATGCGTCCACGCAAGACGCCCGCGTGCACAAACGCTTCCCCCGCACACACGATTGTGTACAAGGCACGCACACACGTGTGCGCACCGATCAAACCCCGGCACGGCATACAAGAAGCATGCGCATACAAACGAGCAGTTTGCACTGCCTGCATGTTCCGTTCATTGAAAGAAAAAAAAAAAAAAACGGAGCAAGTGATGTCTGTTGACTTCCTGTTGCTGTGCAGCTTGGAGGTCACTGAGGTCACGCTCGCTCTTTACCAGAACTCCTGGGGAGCCTTTGAAAAGCTGACTCACTTCTTCTTAGAAGCGCTTCTTCTTCATTCGGGTCACATCCGCCGCACGCTCGGAGCGACAGCGGCGTGTGTGTCTGCGTGTGTGTTTACCTGTGACAGGTGTTTTGCGCGCGTGAAAAGTTTTGGTGTGCGCCGTGAGAAGCCCCGCCTGCCCTCTGAAGGAGCGTTGCCGCACGTAGGTGGCGCTGTTGCGGCAGAAGGCCTCGTGGTATCGGCGGCGGGCGTGGGGGACCAACTTCTGCAGGCGGCACCTGAGCCAGCTCAAGTCCCGGCACAACGTCCTGTGGGAGCCCGACGGCGGCGACCCGGACGCCGGGTCTCCGCCCTCCGTGGAGGCTCTGGACCTGGCCAGGTGAGCCGCGCGCGACCTTGGGCGCCGCGTGACCCCGGCCGCCCACCTGCACATGTGCGGCTTCCTCTCCGCAGCCGCTCCTCTTCCTCCTCCGGGCCGGCAAGCCCCGCCCGCGGCGGGCCTGCAAAAGCCAACGCGGCCGGCCGCGATGGCCGGCGCGCGGGACGCTCGCCCACCTCCGAGACGGACAGCGGATCGCTTCGCAGAACACACCCTGACGTCACCGCGCCTGCACCCTCCTTCACGACCATATGCATCCAAATGAAAGACGCCAAAAATACTTGCCGCAGCGTAACCCTTTGTAGGGCTAACTCAAAAGATTTGGGCTTGTCTTTTGCCTGAGATGTCGAGGGTTCATTTGAGTCGTCTTCATTTCTCTCGAAAAAGAAACCTCAACAAGCAGAGAGGTTTGACGCGTGTCTTTCCCACAGGGGGCGCCATCCTCGTGGGCAGGTCCAGTCCAGAAGCGTTTCAGGTGATTGATTTGGATCGGTGAATTGATCGGCTGACTGATGAATTGATGATCCGCTCGATGTGCGCGCGCAGGGTCGCGACCCGCGTGTTGACGCAGTAGACGGCGCGCTCACTCCCGAAGGGGTGGACCTTTGTGGCCCCGACCCCCACCGCCGGCCCGCTAAGCCGGGATCGGCCCCGCCCACCACGCATGTCATCCAAGGATGGCTGAGACACGCCGAATTCCAACACAACGGTGAGTCCTGTCAGTCAGGCCGTTGATTGGTCGGTCCGTCTCATGTTGATGGTTGGTCTCTGTGTGTGTGTGTGTGTGTGTGTGTGTGTGTGTGTGTGTGTGTGTGTGTGTGTGTGTGTGTGTGTGTGTGGTCAGGCGAGCTAGGTCTGAGGTTCCGGTCGCATCCGGGTTCCTGGAGCGACCTCTGTCCTGATGAAAGTGAGTCATTCTTGCTGAGCAATATTGTGACGGCGTCGCTCTCGGCTCTTTCTGGGACGGGCCCGACCGATTAGATTTTCGAGAAGCGGCGCTTTTACCGTTTGCCGAGGTAGTTTGTTTTGAGGTGCGAGCAAAATTCCCCCTCCGGGTGCCGTGTGGCGGCACTAGGATGCGCTCACCGCATTGCGACTTGAAAACGACCACGGCGGCTTCGTGCAAAATGGCCAACAGAAAATCGCGCTGGCTGCGGCGTGTGCCAACTCACGACGCGACGGCTATTTGAAGACAAATCATGTCGCGGCACGTGTCTATTGGACACCTTAGCGGGGTCTTGTTTATCCTCTGCGTAGAGCCGCGGATATCTTCCCGAGGAGCTGAAATTGCCCCCCCCCCCTGTAAAGTGCAGTTTGTTCTTTGGCTATGGAGGTGATACTGGCCCAGATGGCCAAGGAGCAGCACAATGTCCCTTGAAGAATAACATGATGATGAAATTATGAACGAATGATTGTCCTTTTTTTTTTTTTTGGCCCAGGCGAGCGTCTGTCGGTCATGTCGAGCCGCTCGATGGCGTCGTGCTCGGCGGCGGCGGCCGTGCTGGAGCGAGCGCGGAGGAGGCGACGCCAGTTCTGGGGGAGGAGTTGAGCCGTCACCAACTTTTCACTCGGACTCACATCAATTTTTTTTTTTTTTTTTTTTTTGGGGGGGGGGCTGCTTGTCCTTTGCCCTGTGGCCTTTCCACTTGAATTATGAGCTTTTTTTGAATTTGGAGGGTGATTCTCATTCTAATTTTGGCTTGGATTGGAACCATTTTTGCCTCTTCATTCTCACTGACGCTCTTTCATTGGCATTGGCTGGCCTTTCGCTCTTATTCTTCACCCCAATGTTTTCTTTCTCGATGTCTTCGTTTCCCGGATTCCGATCATTTCCGCCTTCGTTTCTATTCCTCACGCTAAAGGCTGACGTCTTTCATCTCCAATTCATTCACGACTCGTGAATGCGCTCCAAAATTGGGACGTCAGTTTTGGCACGACCCCGACGCGAGCAGGTGAGTGGAAAGTCCGTCGCTTTGGCCGTCCATCGACCAAGATCGCCTTCTCGTGGCCAGCCGGCGATGTCACTTCCTGTCACGTGACGAGATGACAGGATGACAGATCCTTGCGGAAGGTATGTTGACGTCTTGATTTTTTTCCCCTTGATTTTGTGACGTCGCGCTTCCATCGCGATTGGCGTCATCCTGGTCGCCGCCGTGTCGCATTTATGTAAACATGCTCTGCAAACATTCTTATTAGTTTGAGTGTCCACGCATGCCCGCGACGCCGACAGACTCTTTCTCACACACTCAGGCACATAGTATGTATATACACACACACACACTCTCAGGCCTTCACTTGCTCTCACACACACGCACTGGAAACGTCATAGTGATGTCACTGTTCCAGATTATTAACAAACATAAGCCTTTTTTTTTTTTTGTTCTTTTTTGCCTGACGCTTAATTTCCTCCAGGTGACAGTAAATGCATTGACCTCCATGTGTGTGTATGTGTGTTGGGGTTTTTTGCTTGTCCTATTTTCTGGTGGGGGGGCGGAGGCTTTGTGTGTATAAAATGCGGCGGGTGCGCACGGGTCGCATCATCAACGCGTTCGGGCCTCACCTCGTCAACTCTTCCTTTTTATTTTCATCACCACCATCAGCATGAAAGTCGTCAGCAGCGCGGCGCGCGTCTTCCTCCGCCATCTTGGCGCCGGCGTGCTGGCGCTGCTCCTGATTGGCTGCATCCGGCGGGGCGCGGCGGGGCCCGTCTATCAGCCGCTCAGCCAAGTTTTGAGGAGCCCGAGCACGTACCAGGCCGCGGAGGAAGTCTCGCTCCACGTGAGTACGAGGGAGACGTGCGGGGATGCCGCTTGACACTTTACCCCCCACTTCCATCTCGCTTCGCCAAATGTGTTGAGATTGCAACTTGGCGCGTTCTATTCACCCAT